TGGACTACTACGCTCACCTGGCCTCACAGTTTAAAGGAACCATCAAGGTACACAACAAGGTTTATAACATTTGGCTTACAAAAGGAGGATAATGGGGCCAGAGCACTGTCAGTGTGTTTATTAACAAAGTTTCCAAAATGACAACCTCTGTTTTGTTTTCATTTAATTTTTAATGATTAATTTTTTAAAAATTAAAGATATCCAATGTTTAACATCATCAAGGCAGCATAATAATAGCTGAAGTGAGTATATCCCTGCTTTTAAAGGCAGATAGATTTGCAAGTCATCTGCAATACAGTGAAATAAAAGGTTGTACCGTGAGAAAATAGAACCCAGTGGCAACAGTGCAAACAAGGCAGGACCCAAAATAGAGCCTTGAGGTACACCATAAATAAGAGAGGCTATTTTAGAGCTGTGAGGGCCCATGTTGACATAAAAAGTCCTTCCGGATAAGTAGGACCAAAACCACTGAAGAGCAGACCCTTTTAGGCCAGCACATGATTCCAGCCGTGATAGCAGGATATCATGGTCAACCATGTCAAAGGCTGCTGTCAAATACAACAACAAGAGGGCAGCAGGGCTGCCAGACTCCAGAGTTATCATGATATCAGAATATCATTAAAAACCCTTAAAAGTGCCGTCTCAGTGCTATGTAGTAGTTTAAAACCAGATTGAAACTTTTCATTTCATTGAGATCTCATTCATCAAGGTGGGCCTGCAACTGTAAATAGACCACTTTCTCCAGAACTTTTGAAAGAAAGGGAAACTGGCTTGTAATTAGCCAGAACAGTTCTGTCCATTTTGTGTTTTTTAAGAAGAGACTGAACTTTAGCTTTTTTAAAACATGATGGGACACAGCCTGTAGCAAGGGAAGTGTTGATTAATCTCTGTATAAAAGGCCCAACAGTATTAAAAGTATTTTTAAACAGACTTGGGGGAAGACAATCCAATGGGCAGTATGATGATCTTAGCTGATGAACTACCACAGACAATTCATTCAAGGAGACAGGTCCTAAGAATCTGAAAAGAAACATACAACCTATCCTTTTCCCATCTCCTCTCAGCGTGTCTGTAATTGCATTTAAGGATGTGCGTATGTTCATTTAACCATGGCTCTGATAATGGCTAAGCGTGCACTGTCCTGAGTGGAGCGATAGAGTCCAAGATATCAGTGTTACAACAGCAGCTATATGTAATACTGTAAAATCTTCTACATTCGTTTATTAAAATGTTCAGATGAATGTGTCTTAGCACCAAAGGAGGAGACCATACTTAATATTCCTTGTTGGATGTATATCAAGCCAAAGAGCATAAGTGTGACTTATTGCTAAATTAAATAATTTTATCACCTGATGCTGATGTCAGGCACGTACAGCATGAACAGTCAGTGTTAGATGGTGTACTGATAGTCACACCTGGTGGATAAAACAAAGTTTTACAGATTAATAACTTGTATTTTCCCTAATTCAAAGGGGAAAACAAATAACTGATATTACAATAAACAGTCAGTTCTTGATATTTATCTGTATTGAACGTCGTACCTGTGGTTGTGGTAAACGATGATTTCACGACAGTCACTGGTGATTCTTTTTCTAAAATATCTACAGGGAAAAGAAATTGATTTTTTAAATGTAAAGAAAAAATGTTATTAAATTTAGTGCAGATGGTGAGTCCCAGATAACCACACGCCTGCAAAAATAAGAACTTCCTGTAGCCTTGCTTACTAAGTACTGAAACATGCTATGTAAGATACTGAACATAATAATTTTTGGCCATTCCTGGGAAAACCTGAATCTTATCATTAGCGCTGTGAGCTTTAATCAAGAATTTAATTAGCTTGACTGTGAAGACAGAAAGCACACAGAAGCCACTAGCATGGCTGCACTGTTATACACATAAAACAAAAATCAGTCTTACGAAGCCGTTTTATTTATTGTGAAGTTTAATCTTTCCGATATGTGCAAAACTCTGTGAATGTCAAAAAGACAAACTCTTCCTCTAAATAAACACGGTTGTTGTGTTCATGAGTCATAGTGAGAGACTAAGCTTTATGTAGCTTTAGCATAATGTATGTAAGCATTTTCACTTCAAAATTGAATTAAAGCTTATTTTTGGTCAAGTATACACTGCTGCTTGTGCGTCTGAGCCTACAGAAATAAAACAGACATAAAACTTTCACAGCAATGTATCTTTGCATTATTGATGCAATGACAGTTATTCACCTGAGGCTATTTTCAACTCTTTTGAGAGCAGGTGTCAAACTAATTGCAGTCCTTGTAATTTGTGGTTAAATAATACCACACAAAACACATCAGTAATTTAGCTCCTGATGGTGAGTTCACAGAAACGGTGGAAGTAGAAGCACTGGACGTGTTGATTCTTGATGCTGCTGCATAAATATACACAAAGAGTTCAAAACCTTTGAAAGAAGTGACGCGTGATGATGATCTGGGTTGATATTTATGTGTATTATACATTTTACCTGCGGTTGTGGAAAATGATGATTTCATGACAGTCACTAGTGATTCTTTTTCCACAATATCTACAGGGAAAAGAAAAACAAAAAAAATGTGTTTTTTTGTTTGTTTTTTGTTATTTTTGGAATCACTGCAGCAGACATCTTGTAAAACTAAAAAACTGAATCAAACTCATAAACACATAAAAATAAGTCAGCTTTTCTCTGACTTACCTTTCAAGCTGTATCGATTACTGCGAGGTGACAAAGAGTTGGATTCATTTTCCAAAGTGTAATCACAGCTGGCATCTTTTTGTTGAACAAAATGTAGATGTCTCAAAAAATCAGCAACTGGGACATAAAACTGGCAGAACCTCCGTTTGATTTTTCTGCTGCTTTCCTTGGAGACAGCTAGATTTCGGACTGGACGACTTGCTCCTCCAAAGTACAGATTACATCTTGTATCATCTTTCACAGATCCAGACAGAGAGCAAACGAAATGAACATATTCTCCATTAAAATGCTCAACGCTCATCTATGCTGTTTGACCTACATGAAGATCAATGCAGTATCATTAGATATCAGATATCAAATATCAGTTTTACCAGTACAAAAACAATGACAGCGGTGATAATCACAACTGTCATACTATAACACTCAGTCATCATATTTTACAACTGACATTAACATTTTTCAATCCCCTGAAATTTCTTTTAACACCACATGGAGGCTGAAATGTATTTTACATGTATTCGACGAATCAGTAAAATTTGACATTCAGCCTTCTCAGATGATGCGTGAGAAACACATGTTGAACTGGTTAAATATCAGCTGGACCATCACGTCTGTTAATATGAACAGACAGAAAGGTGTAACTGAAATCCATCATAATTTTATCATAACAGGTTTTTATATTAAATACAAACAGTGATTCTGTATCAGGTTTTTGTATCTGCAAATTTAGTTCAGTGTAGTAGGCCAGATGTTTATAACCAAAGACCTGCAAAGTAATAACTGACAACAACTGTAACAATTACCTTTAAGATACTCTCCTAAACATGAAGCACTGTCCACTAGATTCCTGCTAAAGGTGATTGTATGATAAATGATCTAATAACAGGAAGAAGAGTCTCTTACTTTGTATGGTGATGGAGGATGTGTCACTGTGTGAAGGAGAATTCACAGCTCCATATTTCACTGTGTAAAAACATCTGACTTTGACCTCAGCAGGTGATCTCTGATGTGACATTAACAGCAGTTCAGTTCCTGTCAGTGTCTGTAGACATGAGTTGCCTTTGTTACTTTGTTGCTCCTGATTATAAAAATAACAGTGATGAACTGAGGCAGATGCTGGTGCCTGACAGTGTAATGTGACTGAGTCTGTCTCTGAGATCACT